AAATCAAGAAACAAAACGTCTTATTTCTGATTTGAATTTAACTGGTTTCTTCTTCCATACGCTTATTTCCCTTCTCTGCTAGAGTCACTCCATAGTCAAGCTACCTCTCTCTCTCTCTCTCTCTCTCTTTCCCAAAACTTGGCAAGTCAAGCTCGCACTAACTTTCTCTCCATAATGCATTTTATCCAGACCTTGGAGACTTGAGGTTTTGTTTTGGTTTGTTTTTCTTTTTAATGCCTCCTCTTCAGTTGCTGTTTGTTGGTTTATTATCCTACTTAGAAAATAGGCAGCAGAACCATGTGTCGATATCAGCATCAGTGAGATGGAGGTCACCTTCATATTGCTGTGCTTACTGGAGGTCATTGGTCCTCTTTCTACTTCACAGCAGTGGAGCTCATGTTTGTTACTTCTGTATCAAACCTTTAAACCTTCTGAAAATAGAGCATCCCTTGCTGTCCATGGATGCTTGTCGTTTCACTGAAGCCCCATTTTTTTGAGCAAACAGGACTCAGCTTAACAAGAAAATGAGATTGTTTATGAGGACTCCCCTGTGTTTTCTCTTTCCAACATTCTTTTTATCATCTCTATCAACATTAATTTATGAATACTTCTGTGTCACAGATTAGAATATCGAATAATTTTGGTCCTAGTCTGATCATAGAGGAAATCCATCAGAAACATACCCGCTGATGATTTCCTGTTGTCTGCTTCTTCATGAGATCTTTATTTTGGCAACTCTAACTCTTCCTAACATGAATGTCATTAATATAGTAATATAGCATTGATTTCGAGCAGAATAATGTGAGATAACACAAATATTTCAGTAAAGACTAAGAAAATTACCTTTACACAGATGCCTTTGCCAGTTAAATGTGTAATGTCATGAATAATGAAAGCAGGTATCTTACATTGTTTCCCTTAAATCAATTAGCAATAATTAAATTTGACAATTTTTCTTCTCTGAAACTCATGGATTTTTTCACTACTTTGTTTTCATTGTAACTGTAGTCGGTATTTTCCAGGTCAACCCACTTGCTATTTTTCAACGTGACTGCAACACTAGTACATATTTGCACGTTCCCAGACAATTTCTGATTTATTAAGAAATTTACACCAGTGGGCCAACGATTTGCTTAATAAATCTGTTCTGGCTCCTGTGTACAATTTTTCTCATGGCTTAGTATTTATTAATATTGCCTAAGTGCTCCATAATACTTCTTTATCACATGGGTTACAAATGAGAAAGCCGTAAACTTTAGTCTGCATCAGGGATAGGAGTCAGGAGGTTAGCCAGCTAGATGCCAGTGTGGGGATTTAGACTCAGGAGCTGTTTTTTGTTGGTTTGTGTATTTGTTTTATATCTGAAGTTGACTTTCTGTGGAGTTTCATGGAAAGAATGCAGAAGCCTAGAGATATTTTAAACTGGCTTGCATTATTTTTGAGTAAGTCAGAAAATCCTTTAATAGCTCAAAATGCAAGGGAAAGGCTTTGTGTATCTAAACCAGAGCCTCCAGTAAACTGTCAGCTTCTGTGGCTCTTAAGGTCTTTTCTAGAGTTACACCAGTTCCAACGTCTAAGTGGAAGATCCTAGTATTCATGTTTACTCCAATCCTGCCCTTCGTGACAGTGTTTCCTAAGAAAAAAGTGGAAGGATGGGGGGTCAAAACTGATAGCAAATTCTTTTAGTTGACTGGGATTTGTGACATGCCAGGATTCAGAATACCCAACTGGAATAACCAGTCTGGGCTTTCTTGCAGTTAGGGGAAAATAAGCTTGTTTCAGGTCATGAAGGGGTTTTACAGAGGAAATACCAAATACTTCATTGAAAGACATTTGGATGTCAAGCCCCAGGAATTGACGGTAACTCTAGATCACAGAACATAGGCCTATTGGGGAATTTCCTATCCTTATGAAATCTCGTCAAGTTTAGCCTGATTGTTTTTTGTTTTGGTTTGTTTTGTTTTTCTGGTTTTCTAAGAAAATTAGGTTTCTACAGCCATGTGCTCTCTCAGCCTCCCCTTATGCTCTTGACCCAGCCTGGCTAATACTATTTTGAACCATTGGCCAATGTCCTAGTTGTCCACACAGGACACTAAGTCCTAGTAGTCCACAGTTTCATGAAAACTAGTGGCTCGATAAAGGGGAATAACCCAAATTATCTCATTTGCCCTTCACTCCTGCACTGAGGAAAGAATACCACCATTGCATCTGGTGGTAGCAACAAGCCCAGCAATCCCCATGTACTTTGTATGTGCTGTTCCAGTGTAGTTGCTGGCAAGTATGAAGAAGTGGAGGGAAACAGGATTATCGCTGCAGGAGAAAAAGGATGCAGCCCTTGAAAAAACATATTACCTTCATCCTCCTTCTCACAAAATAACTTCATTAAAATTCAGCACGTATAAATATTCTTTTGGAATGAGTAAGACTGACATTATTTCATGAGGACTCTGCTTCCAGAATAATCCAAATGCAGCTTTGATCAGATCCCTGCCATGCAGCCTGGCCAGGGCTGGATTCTAAAAGCAAAACTAACAGAGCACTGAATGCACATGGCAAGTCAAAGATCGTCATGGGAAAACCCTAGGATTTGCTTCTAGATTTTCGTATATGTGTGGAGAATTACTTGCCGCTAGGTTGTGATGTTTCTGTTTGTATATGCTGCATAAGGAAGTGTTTCTCGTAAGGTGTTAACTTACGTTGCTGCAGCAGGCTGTATGGGCAGCTCTGCAACAGTATGAGTGGGGAGGAATGACCCTATGTCACAGTAGTCTCCAAGGAGCTGATTAGCATGCCGGTGAGGAAGGGCTTTTAAGCAGGTAGAAAACTCCAGCAAAAACTAACGTAAATGCTGCTTTGTTCCAGTCCCTTAACGATCCAGTTATCCTTACAAGCAGTAAAGTGGCCAGAGATCTTCTTCGTATGTGTGTCTTTGTTCTGCAGTTTCTGTTCTTCTGCAATAGCATTTTTCGGTTCTAATGTGTTATCTTTTCTAATCACGTTATACAGATTTATACAAATTCTTAGACTGAAATTTATCTTTGGCTTGCACTCCAGTTGTCTCCTTAAACAGCAGAGACGTGAATTTGTATTTGCTAGATGCCTGCAAGAATGCTTTTCTAGTGTCCCTCCTCCATTTGGAATGGAACTGCAGCTCATGACATTTTTGGCTCAGCCCGACTCGTGGAGATGAGTTGCCTGAGGGAAAGCACGTGGCTTTTCTTTTCACCCTGTGGTTGGCTGAGCACAGCACACGTGAGTGGGGGTCAGTTCTCCTCTGAGATCGTTTTCACATTGTTTCTCAGGGGGAAAATTGTCATTATTTAGAGCTTATTGATTTTCTGGAGGATGAGGAGGTGGGAAGATTTCATTTTCTTCTAACCCATGTGCATGTCTGGCAAACCAAATTTGTTGGGAACCATTTGAATGTTTTTTTATAAGATTTGTCTTGAATAATAACATCCATTTTTACAAAGAGGGGAAAATCTGAATGCCAAAAGCATACTTGCCATGTCAGAACTGAGGTCTAGTCTTCAAGGGGAGCCAGTAAGCTCTCAAAGTTCTTCTGGTAGAGGAGTGTTCCTTTCAAAGACCTTTCGACATCCTTTTCAAGGACCAGTGTCACCTGTGCCTGTGCCAGTTCCCACATCACAAGGGAAACGTCCTTTTCAAGGACCAGTGTCACTTGTGCCTGTGCCAGTTCCCACATCACAAGGGATATATTTGATGGAGAGCCCGGGATCAGGCACTGTGGAAGGCAGAAGGCAGCCTCCATAGAGAAAGGTGGCAAACAGGAAGAGATGCTGGGAAATTTCCTTATCTCTCAGGACACAGGGGAAATGTTTTAAAAAGATCATCTATCCAATCTTGCCATTAATTAGGAGAGGCTGTGGGAATGGTAAATGGAGGAAGGGGGGAAGATATCACTGAGGCTGAAATAAGCGGGGAGTAGAGGCATTTTGGACAAGGTACCAGCAATGGGTGGAAGTGCACAATGTCTCAGGCTGTGTTTAGGGGCCAGGCCAGGCTTTCCAGTGAGGAAAGAAAAAGTAATCCCACACTTCACCCTCATTTAATAAGGGATATTTGGAAGAGGAAAGCCTGGAGTGTTTTATTTGAGATTCTCCCTGGGGAGCAAAGTACTTCGTTGTTCCAAGCAATGCAAGTGAGCGTAAGGGATTAGGTAAGCCACAGTTCTCCTTCCTCATCCCCCAACTACTGGGAACAGCTTCTGTTTTGGTTCACAGAGTTTTATTTTTTAAGAGGAAATGTATTTCCCTTGGGTCGTACCAAGCTTCCCTTGGTAACTACAGAGCTTGTGTCGCATCCTGTTTCTGCAAACTCAATGAAGTGAAATTTTGCTTTTTTGTTTGAAAAGAAATTAATGCGTTGCAGTGACAAATTTGATTGCCACTGATATACTGGACTTTCTAACAGATGTTTTACAATATCAGACTTTTTTTCTGAGCAATTAAAGCAAAAAGAAAATGGCACTCTAATTTTTAAACTTGGGCACTAAGCTGAAGTTCTACATTCACATGTGAATGCCCATGGGAATACTAGAGATAAGTTTAAATGAAAATATTGCAGATGGTCACTTGAGAGAAGCCCTCTTGTTTACGGTCCTACACTACAAGCACTTTTAGAAAAAGATCATCAGAGTGAGGACTTCTTATCCCTGCTATGAAACAAAGAACAGCAGCAGAGATTCTGCTCTGAGTCTTCTCTACCCTCATCCATTAACCACTTTAGGGCTGCAGGGACAGCTTTTAGTATCCTGGGGAACAGCAATAAGATTCAATTTATCTATCAGTGTGTTGTTTTTATTTTATTTAGCATCAACTCTGATGTTGAATTTTTAAGGACAAAACATCTTTTTCTAGCAGTGAAGATCACCTGTAATAAAGGATTGGCTCATTTGATGCATTCTGTTCCTTACTAGCACAAAGGTTTTTGTGAACTGCAACATAACATCCATTTGATCTTTCCTTCCTTTGTATTAGGGACACTGTGTTCACTTACCATTGAGAAAGCCATGCCTGAAGATGGGGGCGAATACAGATGCATAGCTGAGAATGCAGCAGGAAAAGCTGAGTGTGCTTGCAAAGTGCTGGTAGAAGGTAAGTACTTTGCTGGACATGGGAAAACACTTCCTTAGAACTCCTCATTCTCCCTTTATTTCCCAATACTAGCCTTTATAAACCACATACACGAAAAAGAACCCTGCCCCCTTCTCTCCTGCATTTTTGATGCATATGTAATTCAGTGTATACCATGAAGGAGCATGAGCAGAGAGACAGTACAGAGCCAAGGGCTCTGGCTGCTTTGTGGAATAATCCAAGTTGTCCTGCTGCCCACTGTATTTCTACAAGGATTTTAGAGCAGTAAGTTAAACTTATGAAGATTTGCTTCTGAGCTGTATGCACTCTTTAAGAGCACGTAAGAATTCATTGTGTGAGCCTGGGTACCAGTCTGCCTCAGGACTATGCATGGCACATTTCTCAGTCTAGAACTTTTCAATTCTTTGCATTCAGTGACATTTGGTCATTTGTTTTTTTCTAGTGGAAGTGAGTAAAAATAAGCAAATTAGCAACTCAACGACCTTTGTATGCCATAGTCTTAGAACATGGACAATTTACTGACTGAGATACTGTTTTCAGCCTCAGTCATGCTGATGACACTGTACTTTTGCCAAGTAGCCTTGGCCTTGGGCAAACGTTTTGTCATGAGGTTGAGAGCACAGACTTTTAAACCCCCCATGGACTTTAAGCTACTTAAGAGACTTTTAGTAACCAAATGTCTTCTTATCAGTTCACCTTCTAGCGAGCTCATCCTTGAATACTCTGATACTTTCCATTGTAACTAAAAAGAGCACGAAACTAAACAACAAGCCCAATAACAGATCTTGGGTATTAAGCCTTCATAACTGTGTTGCAGATGTGGTATTTGGGGCAGGAGGTCTAGAAAAGAAAAGTGTTTTTTTTTCCTAATGTAGCATGACACACGGTAAGAATGTGATCCTGTAACTCCATCAGTAAGAGTCAGTCTTCATGTCGCAGGAAAATGAATTAATTATACATATAATTACAATTAGTTATATTGGTTCCTGTAATGGCACCTTCCATGATACTATGGTCACAACATAGTCTGGCTTAAATCTTTGATAAACTATTATTTATATTTCTGTAATTTAAAGTAATACATTTTACCAGCACTGAAGTTCAAAGAAGACTATCAATAAGAGACTTTATGCAAAATCTCGTACCCTGTAACATCTTAACTACCACAGATGCAGAGTTAAAGGATCAGACCATCAAGTGCTTAGCACACAGTAGTTCTCCTGAGCTACTCTAGGATTTTTAAAATGTATCAGTCACCTGTGTGTTTTTTCCTTTGATTTAGTCTTCAGATCTCCTTCAAGTAGTTGCTTTACTTCCTGAAACTTCCTTTAGCATATTTTCCACTTCCAGTTTCCTGCTGGGCAATGCATGTTCTAGGAGGCTGGAGGTAGACTTTGGCTTGCAGTCTTGCCCGTGGGAGGCTGTCAGCTCATGACGTATTTACTGCATGATGACATGAATGGCGTTACGTCAGCTGTCTGGCTCACCCTTGTAGTGGCACCCATGGTGTTAGGAGCTATCTGCTCATGCAATATTGCACAGCAGAATGATCACATTCCTTACCTTGATACTGGCTGCTTCATCTGTCTTTTCCATTCCCTACTGGCATGCTGCTTTGTATGGCTGAGAAGAGGTTTTTGAGGAATGGCACTACAGCAAACTTCAGCTATTTAGGAGAGACACCCGTTCATATCCCATGTCTGTGACTCGCAGAGGGGATGACTGTTATTTTTAAATTAGAATTGTGGTATAGAACAACAATTAAAATTGCTCCTTTCTACTCAGTCTGCTGTCAGCACACCGGATGCTGATTTTTAGTCTCAACAAGTAACCGTAATTCCTTTTGGCCCCATGGACTCAAGTCAGATTGAAGGAGTATTTTACTTCAGTTGTCAAATTAGCTCAGGGAAAAAACGTGTAGAATCTGAGTGTTTGAACTCAGATCAAGCACAGCCTTCTGCTCTGAATTGTTTGCTAGGAGATTCTGTCTTCCCATGTTAACTTTTTAGGAAACTTAGACAGACCAACTTTAATGCTCTGGCACCTGGAAGTAGGTGACTGAAATAGGTGGTTCCATAACATTCATGTTATCTTTTCTCTGGTAACTAAATTTCAAACAGCTACCTCATACTCAAATCCTTTGAAAGCTGAATATTTGAAAGCTATAAATTGATACAGCTATTGCTGAGATCATAATCCAAATTCGGGATCTTTCTTTCAAAGAGAAATGTCAAGATCAAACAATCTGACACATGGAGCTTGTTAGAATTTGCATTATATGACATGCTGGACCTGGGATAACCTTGCTGAAAAAAGGTTTCATCTTCTAGTTATGTGTGTGTATGTCATATGGGATACACATGGAAGAAAGCTTTTATTGACTCCTAGCTGGTGGTGGAGCCTGCAGTGCTCAGTAGTTGCTGGATTTGAGCTATGCAATCTTGGGAATAATGAAATCCATCAAACTTGAGTCCTGTGGTGTCCCTTTTGCCATATTTCTTTCGGAATGAACCAATGTGTACTAATATCTTCTTGGAAAGATTTAAACATACAGAGGAAATGCTTCTTTTCAAAATGTGTTCACCTGTTTAGATCACATAGACAATGGAACAGAAGAATGACAGGGCAAGAGATTCTTATGGATGAAATGATGTTTCAAATATGCCTTTGTTTCCCTCTTCCATGCCCTGCCTAAAGCAGCTTTGTGCACATTGTTCTGTGCAGTTAGAATAGACCTGTCATCTTAAACGGTGCCTCTTGTCTAGTTGCTTTCTCAGGTTCTCAGGGCAGCTGCTTTCATAGAGGACTTCTCCCTCTCTGCTCCCTCTTCCTTTTGGAATGTGACATTCTCCAGCAAGTCTGTCAGAAAATCTTTCTTAAAAACCAAAAGGACAACAATTTCCTCTAACTTTGCAGAAAGATCCAGAAGAAATTTATGTTAATAGGCAGCTTTTTCATTATTGATTTTTAAATAGCATTTTTATTTTATTATTTATTTTGATTGCAGATGCCTCATCCACAAAAACCTCAAAGCCTACTGAGAAGAAGACCAAGAAGCCTAAGACCACACTTCCCCCTGTGCTGCCAACAGAGAGTAAGTGACACTGATTTTGGTTACTTCCTTTTCACTGGAATCAAAAGAGTGCTTTGGGATTCTGTAGTCATTCCCTCGTATTTGCAGGCGTACTATCAGAAGCTTGTGCTGTTTCTTTAACCCTTGCACATAAGTCATGTGAAATGAGTTTTTGCCTTGTGGGGATTAGAAGTAAGTGCTGAAAATGTGAATTCAAACCTAGCCCACTCGATTCTCAGTTTTCCATAATGGTGCAATAAACTTATGACACTGATTTATTTTTGGCTGACTCCCAAAGAGCACAGAAACTCTCGAGTAGTTTGCTGCAAGTCATGTTGTATCCTGTGTAGACAATATACTGTCTTACCATTGGTAGGCAATTTCTTGACTGAAATGTCCTGTAGCTTAATTTGTCCTTTTTTCCATGACCATGGGGAGTGATTTGGTGAATTTTACATTCCTGGTTGTAAGCCTAAATGCTTTACTTGCTTTTAATGCTTTCTGAAATAACAAATCAGCTATAAATTCCCATGTTTGCCACTCTGCGTACATGCATTTGATTAAGAATAAACTTTAAATGGTAAAGGCAGCACAATAAGGTCAGTTCAGAAATTCCTCATACCACTGTTACTTTTGAAATTAAGTGTCTGTGGGATATAACTATCTCTTAAATCAAACACTGGGTTTAGGAAGTTGTCTAAGATGTCCACCATGTGAATTCCTAAAAAAGATGTAAAATGTAAAAACACAGTTCTAATGGAAACATGAAATATTTTATCCATCTTGCTCAAAGAAAAAAAAAAAAAAAGAGAAACTATAATCTGATTTTCCAGAATGGAACGTTTTCAGCTGCAAAAAGGACTCAGTGCAGTTTTGTACTGATTGATGAGCACAGGTAATCATTGTGCTTCTGGAATTATTCACTTACCTACAGTTATGCCCTGGGCTACAGCTGTTTCTGAGTTGCTGGCTGGGCACTGTAACTTTCTCTCCAGCCAGTCATTTGGAGGTGTGGGAAGGCTCACACCGACATGCTCCACCTCTGCACCTGAGCTTCAAATGCTGTAAATAATAGCACTTAAGAACGATCATCAACATCAACAGAAAACAAAGTTTTAAAGCCATTTAAAGCTCCATGGGATAGTGTTTTGAATAGTGTTTTCTGTGCACACGGACGCATACAATTCCTCTGATCTGCCCGGCGGTGTTATCAATTGCAGCTTTCCCAGGAGAAAGTGTGAGTTGGGAACTAAGTCTAAATAAGTGGATGTACAGCCTGATCAAAAAGAAATCACTGCTTGTCTTGCTGTTGATTTTAGTGGAATTTGGATATAGGCAGCAAAACAGAAGTTAGCAACTCTGGCTTCAGAAATGATTGGGAAAAGAAGGTTGAAACAATGGTAAATGGTTTTCTTAAGGTTGCACATGGTATATTATACCAGTGTTTAAAGTTCTTGAACTTCTCATAAGCTCTTTTTTCAAACTACCTTTAAAACATCTTTCCTGTTGCACTGACAACATCAGGGTAACCAGGGGGAAAATTAGGACGCTGGTCTTTGGAAGAGCTTTTGGAAAACTTTGGAAAAATACATACTTAATTTTAAAAGGATTTGGCTGCAGAGATTCCACAGGTGTTTTTTAACATCTCAGCCTCAGTCTCTGAGGGCTGTGGGTATTTGTCTGCCTGAAATGAGTCTGATATTTGTAAGTTTCTTAGGGGCAAAATATCCAAAATTGATCCAGTAGACTTCACAGTTTCAATGTAAACTGAAATTCCTTTCAGATGTAGAGATTTTAAAGTTCCTTACCTGAAAGAGAATGTGCTTAATAAGTCAAATATTCGTGTATCTTTACTGTATTTCTCTGGAAAAGAAGGTTAATAAAGAATGACTGCGAAGTTAGGTGTCCCAGTCTAATGAGATAAATTTTTACTCTTATCTCTTCTAGTCTTTGTTGCCACATCAACTCACCAACAGTCCTAATGAAAAGTAGAGTATAAGGAATGATATTAGAGAATATCAGTGAATAAATTCTGAATTTTGAATAGTGAATTCAGTCACAAAAGTATATACTATAGGGGGTACAGAAGCTATATACTCTTTGTCATTTTTAGAAATATTTCTCAGGGGAGAAAAATCCATATTTTCCATTCTCTGTAAGAAAATGCAAATCAAATGTTATGGTTAGCAGCTATGTCAACCTTTTGTCCCTCAGATAAATTATAAGTGATCCTTCTTTTTGCCCTAATAGAAACCTTCAGGAAAGTAATTAACTTTTAGTTCCTGAAAGCAAAGATCAATACATTTCCTTTTGTGAAAGAGAATGAACGTTGTCAGTATGTTAATCTGTAGAATTTGTCTCACTGTGAGAATAGTTGCTGACCCTAGTCGTTTGACCACTCACTCTGACGACATTATTTTACTGGAAGCTTGGGTTTTGTAAGCTCTAGAAATCCAATAGTAAGTAAAATTTTGAGCATTATCTCTTTTCAAATGCAATACATACTAGACTCTGGTTTAGAATAAGCAGTTATTCTCAGAAAAACATCTATGAAGGCAGCTTTTTAGCATTCAGTGTTTAAGAATATCTCCCATGTTAACAAATTAGGAAAATTACGATGTATTTCTTTTTGCTTACAATTAATATTCTGTCACCAGAATTTAGTAATAATTATGACTCTGCAGAATGCAACTCTGTAATCATGAGTAGAATAAATAATAATGTTTCTGAGAATAACAAACAAATCCAGCTTTGAATCTCAGTGAAATCAATCCTGAGGAAGAACATTTCTTTTTTTAATGTTGGAATTGGTTCATCCTTCACTGACTGTACTGACTTAGGCTTTGTCACTTATGTCTTTGCTAGGTGGATGTAAAATGCTTGAGTTAGAATAATAAAGTGTTATGTTTCTTCTGTGCAGATAGAAAAGACTAGAAGAGGCAGTGGAAAATTGGAACCTTTCACTATTTATCATACGGCAAACTCCACTCTATGCCAGGACAATCAGTGGATAATTTAAGGGTCTTCTAGTTTGACATAACCCTGCAGCACAAGTACTAAGCTAAAAATTCTCACCACTTGAACGTTTCTCTGGAGAGCTTTGAAAGCATCTACTGTAAAGGGTCTTGGGCACCCAATTCCTATTGAAATTAGAAGTTACTTCAAATTAGGCTTAAAGGGAATTGCTTATTTAAATTAACAAGGCCACCTGCAAAATTTTCAGTCCATATTAAATAAACATTTTTGGCCTAACAGACTGTGGAAAAAATCAAGGTGCTGCTTGAGATTTTTAAGAGTAAATAAGGATTTGATGGTGGTGCTACACTGAGGACCAAAAGAGCAGTAAATCATAGCTTTAGAAATTAGTTCAAGATCATTATCAAGCCTAGAACCCAACTTTCTTGATCCTCGGGCTTGTGAGTAGTTTGCATGCCCCATCCAAAATACTATAGATTTTATAAACTGATATCCCAAAAATTTATATAAAACATGAGTTTTCCAAAATACAATTATTTTTTTTCAAGACGTACTGGGGAAAAAGGCACATTACAACAGTTAGATGCTATTTCTTAAACTTCACCAGGGCTGAGCAGAGCAACATAACTTTACTATAGTAGGAAGAAACTTTATCCCAATCGTTGCGACTGAGAAAAGAATTGGCTTTAATACTTTAGAAAATAACCCTCCTAAATCTAAGCATTGCCTTGAAGTGTTTGGAAAGAAATGCTCCCTGTTTTTTTGTAGGGCTAATTCACAGCACTACTTCCAGTAAATATTAAGAAATGGCAACTATCATCTGTCATAATCAGTGGTATGAAAAACTAACAGGATATCCTGGATTCTCTCATCTGAGTAATACACTTGTTAAATCTGCGATTCTCATATCCAAACCACATACATTGAAGGGATGACCCAACACAGAGTTCGATTGCACAAATAGAAGTTCTTCTGCTCAGTTAAAAATAAAGTTACATCAAAGTAAAGAACTTCCTCCACACACCTTTAAGTAAAGAGGCCTAAAATACATTACTTAGCAGTATTTGGTATCTTGCTAATATAAATCGTTTATATCTGCTACTGTGATCTGTTTGATTTCCTGGCAGACACATTTTTGGTTAAGTAACGATGCATTCTCTTGCTGACAGTTGTTAATTAAATATGGCCACTGACACTGTCCAGATCAAATCCTCTGGAAGGCTGTGCTGCCATCTTCCCAGATCTGATTTCTCAGCATTGTTGGTACTTGAATGCAAGGCTGAGCAGTGGCATCTCTGAAGCAGCATGTCACAAATGTAAATACATCAGACAAGACTCCTTATCATTTTATGTATTCTTTTTCATAGTGAGTAGGATTCTACACATTTTAATTACCATGGAAAACTTATGAGTCAGTGGCCAAGTGATTAGTATGCAGTTCTGTTATTTACTCTTCAATAAACAATCTTGTCAGAGAACCCAAATCTACAAGCACCATTTTAAGAAAATGTCATTAAAACATTAAGCTTGATGTGTCCAGTTTAGATAATAGATAAATAAATCAGTAAAAGCTTTGAGTTTTGATTTCCATTCTGTCAATATATGAAACAAAGCACTCATTAATATAAAATGTTTCAAAAATCTTCCTTTCATGTCAGATTGTTTTGTCCTCAATACAAAACTTTCCACTTTCTAAGGGAAAACTCACTTACTAAGGAAGTAAATAATCAAGTCAGAGATGTTCTTTTAATTGCTGGAGTAAGAGCACAGTGTAGCAGCTGTGATCTGGTGACTTTGCTGCTGCCATCCTGGTCCCTGGGACAGTCCGACACGCTTTTAAGGGTCAATGAGACTGTTCAAACCAGTTCTCTCAGTCCCATAAATTTCCCAGAAGGTCCATGCTGCTCAACTCCTGGCTGTTGCAAGAAGAATCAAGACATTTTCTGCACAGTGAATACAAGTCCTTAGTGTGCGGAAACAATGTAAGTTATATTGCCAGGGAAGCCTCTGACCAAACTTTTTCAAGGAAAAATATTTAACCTTTTTTTCTAAGAGAAGCTGAAACTTCCTCTTTTAGCATACGTAAATAAAATTGCCATGACCTGTTTTTAAGACCTAGATATGATTTCTCTGAAACTCTGAATAATGTAAGGTGCTGACTTCATTCCTCAGGACGGGGGCCCAAGGGTAAATAGCTGTGGCACGAGGCCAACCAAACTAGCTGAAGCAAAAGACAATGTAAGATTTAACTTAGTGACTCTGAAGGTTGGTTGCCTCCACAGACGAAAAAAATATTCAGTTACTGTACATATAAAGAGAGCAATGGAGAAACACTAATTTGTTGTGTAAATCACTTCTCCTTGATGCTCAGTTCAGCACTGTTTAGCTAATGCAAGGTATGCCTTTTGAAACTCTGCCGGGTTACTTAACAGCTAACACCATACTGACATTTTCTGAGTTAATCATGTTGGCTCAGAACCTTGTTTTCCATGTATTTTTCATACAGTCCATCCTGCATAGTTGTATGTTGACAGAAGAAGACAGAAATTTTTATTGACTGTCTCATGCAGAGAAACAGGAGTACAGTTTTTGCAATGTGGCCTTGAACTGAAGAGGTGCCATGCACCATTAATTCCCAGTTAAGTCATTGACTAGAAATTGCAGATCTGCGGCATGTAATAGAAGCATTGACCAAAGTTTCTTCTCTGTAAAACAGGGACCTAAATCCATTGGCTTAATTAATGTGCACAAGCACATAACACCTAGCTTTTCCCACTGAAATCATTCAGAGCTCCTGAATATCCAAGTGATCCGGCAGTGTTTTCCTACTTAATAGGCTGGGTAGCAGGCTAGTAACCTGGTTTAGATTGCTGTTCCTGCACACTTGGGCGCAGCATTTTAGCGTCTAATTGTAGCTGTTCTCGCAGGACATGAGAAATAGGAAAATTAAATCGATATTTAAGAAATGAACATTGTTGTCTTGCTTCCACCAGAGCTTTTAGTGGAATTCACATGACCTAGGTTGTTTATAAGTTCTATTTGATACTGGATGTTTTCTGCACTGCTCAGATTTGCTTTAATTGCAGAAATTGCTTAAGCACTGTGGTATGAAACTGCTACGGAATTGTTTCTTCCTCCAGCTGAGCTGTTTTAAAATACTGAGTTACTTCCAGTGTGCTATGTTGCATTATTGAAGCTCTGAGTGTGATAGTATATACTAGCTCTCTCTTGACTGGAATGCAAGAGTATTTCCTGGATTTTTATTTTTATATTGAGAAGGAGGAGGCTGGATTTTTTTCAATTAGAGGAGAGTCTCTGCATGATTTAGAAACTAAATATGGACTGTTGCAACAAAATGACAGTTATTTTAATGAATAAAATAAAAGCTATTAAAAACTGTTCAGAAACACGCAAACTCAAATAGCTGACTTGTATGGCATTTAGTTTTCTAATTTCTTCCTGTCATCAAATTTAAGACAGAGTTGCTTTCTATTTTATTGTATTTAGATAATAAACAGTTATTTGGAAATAGTATGAGGAATTTACTCTCTGAAAAGCAAGGAAGCAGAACTGTTTAAGCTTTCAAATATTGATGAAGTGTTCAAGCTACTGGTGCTAGTGCATTGTCACTGTCATATTTCTCTTTGGCAATTAGCATAGGTTCAGGAATGTGTGAAGAAATTGGTAAATAATGATGTATTGTCTTTTTCTCCTACAAATGTAGCCATCATCTTTCTCCTATTTCATTTTGTCTGTGCTAATACCTGTAATAAGGTTCTGTACCATCAAGGAAGTCTGTGATAGAAGCAAGTATAGAACGGAATAATTCATTGCTTTGACCACAAGACCAAGTGTTTTATTTTTTCTGTACTGCTAGGTCTCAGTCACTCCATGCTTTCTAGCGTAGTAGTGAGTAGTGAAGCTTTACAGACAACAGTCACCTTTGATTCAGACCTTGATATCTATCCCCAGAAGGGTCTGAATGAGGTTACATTTACAGGTAGAAGAGAGAGAGACTTCATGTCATATCACACACATCTGAAGCATTCAAGTGTGATGGGGAAGAAGCAGAGACTTGACTCTGGATTTTCCATCTTCTGTATAAATATTCTCATTACTGTGATACCTAACACATTACAGACATCACTTCTTTTTTCAGTTTCTCTTCAAGGAAACTAAAAAAACCAACAGAAGATGAAATCTTGAAAAGTTTTGCATGAGGGGAAAATGTTTTCCTATGTGACTATAGTATTAGAGTATGTCATTAGCCCTTCTCCTGTCCTGAGCTACAATGAGGCTATTCCACAAGCAGATGGAAGCAAGAAAATGTCTTGCTCCTTTTGTTAATGGAGTTAGGTATTTACTCTATTTGTTTACAAGGTGCTGAAACCCATCACTATGGAAGACATGCACATAACTTTAGGCATGTCCCTCAAGGAAGACAGGAGGATTTGTGGACTGGTTGGAAATGCTGTCTTGAGTACTGATGTTTTTTTCAGACTGTAAGAGTTTTACTTCATGCTTGATGAAAGCAAGTTGTGCAAAGAGCCATTTCAGGGGAGGACTATGCCTATTTTTAGTAAAATTCCAAAAAAGGGAAACAAAAAAGAAAGACGGAGGCTTCTGAACATGTCTGCTCTCACGAATTCAACAACAGGGCAAATAATGGCACAACCAAATGTCCCACAGCTATCAGCCAGTATGGGATCTTTCCCTTTTTTAGTTTATGTCCCCCTCCCAGACGCAAGCTCTCTAAGAGGCAAACCTGCCTATAAAGTCATGTAAATACCAGCTTTGTAATGTTTACATTAAGTTGTTTCTAGAAGGCAGATTCATCTAAAGGAGGGAATATTATGTCCTTTTTGCTCCAGGATGGTTTTCAGCTTCAGCCTGTTTCAATGTAAATATCAAGAGAGAGATAAACTGTCTTTTTTTTTTTTTAAAAAAAAAAAAAAGCAGCAGAGGCAGACTTGAACTAACATTTCCAAGAGGCTCAAATATTTTAATGAAAACAATCATTTGACCTTGTCGACTTTGGGTAATCTTATTAGATTTTTTTCACTAACTGTCTCCAGCAGCTTTTGAAACAAAACTTGCCTTTCAAAAAGATGCATGAGATGAGCTGGTATTCTTAAGGAAGATCTAAGAACAGTGGAGTGTACACTATTAGCCAAAGGAGTCAGCTTCACAGACCCAGGGACAGATCCTTATACTTAGCCCTTTCCATGCTGCCCCTGCCTTTCATTTCTGCTCAGGACTATTTGTGTCTGCAGAACAGGATATTCAGCCAGACCTTCCAGCAACCCTTTGCAATCTGCATGGCTTGATGAAATCCAGTGACAGTCTGTATATCCTCAGTTAAGTGAATGTAATGTCCTTGTGGGTAAAACCCAAAAATTAAACAAAAAATTTGTATTTGCATATAAAAAGCAGTATCCTAGCTGAATGAGGTCATGGGTTCATGTTCTTTGCTTTGCTGCTATAGAGATCTTCATTTTGGTGAGAGCCTGTCTTAAGCATGTCCTTAGTTATCCCAGGGCTAGGGGGCACAACATGTATTTATTCCACTTCTAGGGTAAATAGAATACCTGGTGGTTCATTATACATCCTAGCCTGTATAGAAACGTTGTTCTTTAACAGTGATGAATTGAATGTCATTGACTGTAGTTGCAAATGAACAAATTATGTTATCAGAGTCCCTTCTGTGATGAACTGAAAGTGGCTGATAGTAGGCAGAGAGAAGCGAGAGGGGTATCTGAGTATATAGCTATCTGTTCTGTGCATGTATTGGGCAAAGGCAGAGAATGACATTGTCAGCCAGGAGGAAAAAAAAAAACCTTGAGATATGAAGAGCCAGAATAAAACATGAACATTTGGAGAGTGTGATGACTCCACTAGCACCTTGCTTGTTAACTAAGATACTGCAACAAATATACAATGTAGGCCAAGAGGTGATAGCTGAGTGAAAATCGTGCTGGATTAAGGAATTTGCTTTCCCCCCTGTTGATCTGCAGTGACATTTCTGAAAAATAGCAATAGTATCTGCAACCCAATATGGCACTTGACAAATGGTGTGATTTCTTCATCGTTGGTGCTCTTTGTTCATACTAGGCTTAATGGATTGTGGAAGTAATCAAATGCATGTTATTGCTTTAGATTGTATTAAAAGCCATTATAGTTCTGAGGAGATACCCAACAGCTATTTCCTTCTCAGTTTAGAGAAGAGCAGAGAATCTGATGTCAAATACAGCATACACACACCCAAAAATATTTACAGTTTTTAAATCGTATAACTGAGTCAGTTTCATCGGATTATGCATCTAATGAATAACTAATGGCTTACTTCCATGAATAAGGATGTTTAGCAGTAGATGACAGGCCAGACTCTACAGCCCTTCCAGCTGCCACCTGATCATATAAGTAGTTTCATCTACGTAACTGTGACTATAGCCTGAAATAATTGAGAGTTTCAGCTCGGGTATAACCATACAATGATAACGAGGAAAGCTGCTTTGAAAACACCACTTACCTTTGCTCATACAGCTTGGGCAGGAAAGAGGAGCTGGAAATATATTTGTTGTCACTGACCACAGCAGCCAGGGTACATGTCAGTCTTTTAATGAGCAGTAGTGCTCTTTAGACCCTCATTTAAACAGGGTTAATGCCACATGGAAGACATGGCAGGACAGATACCTAGCTCATGCCCTGGTGGTCCGTTTATGCTGGGATAAACACTGCACAAGTACTAATCTAAACCTTTAACTAGTTCTGTTAAACTGACTGTCATTGAAGCAAGGCTTCCTTGGGACATATCCAAGTACTCTTTTTTGACTCAGCCATAAGTACTGCAAGAATATCCTTCCTTTCCAGTATTGCATCTCTGGTTCCAACAAAATCAATGAAGACACAGCATGTAAACGCTAAGCATACTTTGAAAGAAAATTACTATTAAATGAAAGTTTGTAAAAAGAAGGTGGCAACAACATCTTCTATTTTCAGTGCATAGTGAAATATTCCCCAGAATGAACTGAATAAACACTGGTGTTAACAGCTAATTCGTTATACATTTATTAAAGCATTTAGTCTTTTAACAGCCTATAGCACATCAGTTACTATCTCCAGTGACTCTCAAACTTAAAATCAATCTTCACATTTGTCTGTTGCTTGAGCTATAACATTAGTCTCCCATGGTGGGTTCACAACTCATGGCTCCTTATTCATGGGGCATCAGGTGATGTGTTCCCTGGGTATCATGCACAGCTTGTAGTTTGCTGTAGCAAAGAGAATTAAAATGAAAGACTCTCTTTATTGATTTGGTGGATTTTTGAAGATTTTTTTTTGCTGCTCAGTGTCTTACTACTTTGAAATAACTTAAGGAAACAATGCACAAAAAAATTCAAACCCTTTGAGACTGTTATGGCTATCAGTAGGCACCTATGTATATGCTGCCTGATATTCAAAAGCACTCAGCAGATACTCTGCCTCTGTTGGAGGCAATAACATCTTGAAAGCCAGACTACTTCAATCAAGCTGCCTACTTGAGCATAAGAAATTAAGAAATGTCCTTTCACAGCAGAGGCCATCCTCTGACAAGGATGCTTAGGATAGCAGATAAAAAGAGAGTGCTCTAAAAGGAATGAACCCCTGCACTTCTGGAATTCAGTGGTTTGAAAGCATCCAGACTGTTGCATTTAATGGCCACCACTAGACCCGACTCCTATGAATTTGTCCTTTTGAACTTGTTTATTTTTTTCTCTTGCAAAACATCACTTGTCTGTGAACCTAGCTTATGCATGCTATATTTAAAAATACTTCTTTTGTTTCTTTTATGCCTGCTGACTGGTAATTTAATTGGGTGACCCCTAGTTCTTGTTTTGTGAAAAACAGTTAACAGTCATTTTCTACCTACCTATCTTCTCTACTTTCTTTCTACCTATCATTCACAATTTGTAGAACATTGTCTTCCCAATATTTATGTGCCCAGGTTCCAAATTCTGTTTTGACCCTTTCTTTTGTGAATATAGCAAAAAGTTGTCCCTGCCTAGGAAAGAGGGTGTGGCAGAGGGGTGATACTAGTGTTTCCTGCCTGTATATCGCTGTTTCTTTGCTAGCTCACAAGTGATGTAAGAAGTAGTATGTGGCGTTAATGACCCTAGTTTTAACTGACCTCATTCAGCATTGATTAAGCTGGAAATCTGATCAGTAATTTGGTATGAGTTGGATCTTGGCCCAGTGTTTTCACTCCAAATAAACTGCTTAAAGGAATGAAGTATGGCAGAGTATGGGAGATGTGTAGCAGATTTCTATGATTCTTTTAAAAGTTCCAGCTTCAGCTGTGAATATTATGAGGATCATTCAGGATAATAAAAGTGTTGTTAAAAAGTTTTTAATTCTTGAGTTTAATATGCTGAAAGAGCATATTAGATTTTCAACTGTCAGCTAAGCGTCACTATGGATGTAAGCTGTGCAGTTAAGCTGGTACCTTCCAGCTTACAAAGCTCACCTTTGAATTAACTTCTTTTTTTTTTCCTTTTTTTTTTTTTAACTAGGTGAAGCAACAGTGAAGAAGAAACCAGCTCCAAAGACTCCTCCAAAAGCAGGTAATTTGTTGCGTGTGTCATCCTGTAGGAATAAAAAATAAACCAATAAAGTTTTAAAGAACAGACAGCACATTTCCGCCTAGTTTCCTTCAGATATTTCAAACAAAAAATAACTTTTCAAAGAGCAAGTCTAGGGAAAATAAAAGCCACTTTGTTTGAACTACATTGAAAAGAAAAATAAAGCACTTTTTTTTTTTTCATGCCCAGTAGCCCTGTGCTTTGGACAGGAATGTTACATTTGGCAATGAGGTCATTCTAACGTTACAGAATGCTTTTTACTGTTTCTGTCAAAGTGTCTTCAAATCTGTAAATCTGTATACATACATCCCACCCCAAATATTTTTTACTGTGCTGCTACTGTAAAGCAGCAGAACAGGTTTCAGCCTGGAGTTTTCCAGGCTGTGATATTTCTGGCATCTGTCCCTAGCAGCTACCGGGGTTCTGGCACACTCAGCATCACAACTGACAGTCAGGATGCAGTACTATTAGCAAAACAGATGTTCTGCCATCTATTGATACTCAGGCAGTGAAAAGGAAGAGGAGAAGCACCTGATCCAGACATGGAGGAGTGTGAATGGGACTGCAAGATTGAAAAGCAGTGCTGTAATATACAAACAAAAAGATCTGTCATTGCTCAGGGAAAACTGAGTGTGATGGAGAAAGACGTCAGTTTCCTTCCTTGTCTCTCTAATAGATGTCCCACATGATGTTTACCTGGCTACTGAAGCCAGAATCTTCATAGGCACGTGTTGAGTCTTAAATTTTCTGAATGCCATTGATGACATTAGGGAGCAGGTTTGCAGACACCCTCAGCACAAGCAAATTAATAAGAAGTTAGCTGGAGCCATTCTTCAAAAATATGAAATACAAATGAAAAAAAAAATTCTGAAAAGCTCAATGCAAAATTTCATAAGCTATATATTTGGAATTGGTGGTGGGTCTTAACACTTTTGGCCTTCGGGTTTCTGTACCTTGGTCTTGCATGAGCAAACTTCTGATGGGTAGATTTTTATTGCGTCACTACAGTAGAATTAACAATCTCCACAGAATTGTTTCATTGCAAGCAACAGGTAACTGCTAATCTGGATTTCAAATGCTTCTCTGAAACTGTTGAGCTGAGAGATGTATGAGTTTTGAATTTTAAAAATAGAAAATATAGTCACCTAAAGAGAATTTTTTTAATTTTTTTTTTTTTTTTCATCAGCTACTCCTCCTCAGATTACTCAGTTCCCAGAAGACAGAAAAGTCCGTGCGGGTGAATCAGTGGAACTGTTTGCCAAGGTGGTAGGAACAGCACCCATAACTTGCACCTGGATGAAATTTCGTAAGCAGGTAAATTGTTGTAAATTGTTTTCTGGTCTGTTTTAACGATCACTAGAAATGTAGAGATGGAAAGGAGCTGCAGTGACCCATCTGGTCCCATCTCCCTTCCCCAGGAACTGGTAAAGTCCAAGTCATTCCTGCCAGATGTTTTTCTCACCTCTGCTGAAAACATTCCAATGATGAAGATTTCACAACCTGTACTAGCAACTTATTGCAGTGCTTAAAAAACCATAGTCTTAGAAATTTTTTCTTTAATGCCAAACCCAAATCTTCCTTGCTACAGTTTAAACTCATTGTTGCCTGTCCCATCCTGTAACAAATGACTGTTCCTTTGAGGAAAGCTTTAGACCATGTAATTAAAGGGTAGGTAATGTGAAAGATACAGGTATCTGAAAAGCATCTGTCACAGGAAACGTTTCTCTTCTTCAAAAATAACCTCCTCTTCATTGATGCCTGATCTAAAGTCATGTCAGAAGGCCAAAAAGCCACATAGGAAGCTTGAGTGAAACATCTTACAACACAAATGTCACCATGCAAGGCACAACAGCAATTATGCTGCCATGAGTACCCTCACCTCTAGGGTTTAAAGTTCCTTCTACTTGAATTAATTTCCTTGAACTATATTACATGTGTCCATAAGGGCAGGTTCTAAAGAGAGTTGCTTTAGCGACTAATAAACCCACTTTAAATCAAATAACCCAATATGCAAGTACAAACTGGAAGATGAAGTGCCATGTTGGAATAGAGCAAATATAAATATATACTGTAGCTGCTATTCTGTTTGTTTCATTCTGAACTCGTTATGCACTCTATAGAACATAAATAAAAACATCTCCTCCTACAAGGAAGTTTAGACTCTAAATCCAGATGTGTCAGCATTTAATTGAAAGAATTCAAAACAGTTTGCTAGTGCAAAGGATATTCCAGGGTCCATTTTTGGTAACCCCAAATAACCTCTTACTTTAGGGGAGAGAATGTTTTTTTTCTGAACTCCTATATTTTCTTAACATTCTTTAGTTTCAAGACTGAACTTAAAAAGTTGCCTACTCATTTCTACAAAAACAGGTCTCAGAAGCTCCAGTGACATACAGTGTCCCGTTTTGCTGAGCTCTGTCTTAGCTCGTGGGTAAAATGTACCCCTCAAAAGTGTGTTTCTGCTTTGTGCAGAATTCCCAGTTCATTGTTGAATACAACCACCCTATTTATGTAGATTTCAAGGCCATTTTTATATATGAAATCTATGTGAGAACAGAGGTCGGCAGCTCATAATACCCATATCAGGTCGATAATCTGTGATTCTACACCTGTTTCCTTTGTAAAAATACTATTTTTACCATCTTTCTACATTCTTATTTAATTATTCACTAGAAGACAATCTAAAGGTTTGCAAAATCATACATTAAAATGACATAAATTTTTAAATGGTTCATTATGGTAAGTGAAGGAGATAGAAAATAAACTTCAGGAATGTTAATAAGCACTGCAGGAGGACAAGTGAGAGCGGCAGTCTTTCATTTATTAAATTAAATGGGGAGCCAGTTACTGTGTACTGTGCTGCACCATTATTTTGCTTTCTTTTCCACTTGTACTTCACCACACATTGTTTTATTCTTGGATTTCTTCCTCTTCTATAAATGTGGTTGATCTCAACTCTATTCTATTCCCAGTCTTAAAAGTGAAAATCACCCAAGTGTTCTTACAGTTTTCCTGAGGGCTCTTTGTAGTAGTTGTTTGAGCAGATCCAGTAAGTGGTGAGTTGTGATGTCAGCCCTGCCACTGTATGCAGGGGTGACTTGTCCTCTCCATGTTCCTTCCTCACATTTCGTTGGGCTCAAGAGAGCCCCAGCGGCTTCTCACAGGTATATTCTGGATACATATCTTTCATCCGAAGAAAGGGAATGTCACAAAGTTGTGACCCATACTCTTGTATGTGACAGCAGTCTAGTGGAGGGATGTTGGAACTGTGCTCAGCTAAAAAGGGGAAAGTCTTTGAAAGCCTCTTCGTTAGTTGAGGAACAAAGTCCATTGTTTAACATTGTCAATTGTTGGAGCTTCTTAACTATGACCAGTGACTTTTTTTTCGGAACACAGAGATCCAGCTTCCTGTTCCCCACAACCATTGCAAGCCACTGAGCATCCTCTCAGGGCTTTCTCTGCATAGTTTCAGGGCTTTCCCTGCATAACACAGACCTAGTTCTACTAGACTAATTGTTTCATTGCCATTACCCTTTGACTATTCTAATGAAGCAAAACATGTAAGCCAGTGTAGAATCTCAGAAGAACAAAGTACAGGGGTGGGGGGGAACAACTTTCAGTATAATTTAAACTGTAATCCTACATAATCCCATTTACTAACTTTTCATTCAAGTTACTGTAGGAGCATCTTTCTCAGGTTACTTTTGGGCATATAGCAATGCATGTCTTCTATCTCAGCTGAGGAGAAAGCAGGGAAAGGCCTGCTCTTACCCTTGTAATTTCTTATTCTCTGAATATATGAGACAAGATAAGGCAAACTAAATAGCCTTCATTTTTAATGAAATTCTGAGAATGACTTGGAAGAGTCACTTATCTAAGAAGGAAGTGGTGGGAGGAAGAAGGGCATTGACATTATGTTGTCTGTTTCATAAGAACACAGTGTACAGCTCCTACAATTGCAGTGTAGCATTATGAGGTTTTTAAATAATGTCATGTCTCAAGCTAATACTGATTAAAATCTAAGTCTCCTTGGCCATTTATGCTATGATAGCTTTATTTCAATTAAAAATTAGTTCATAATATGCCTATGATATTCAGCTGAGATTTTGATTCTTGCCTCTCCAGAAAATAAAAATGTTAGAATAGGAAAGCTAAATCTGCCCTTTGTATGTCTCTCTGCACAGCTGTGGCATTACATCTCCATTTCAGCGACATCATCTTCAATTGTTCAAACCCAAGAAACTGTTACCCTGATTTATGTGAAAGTACAGACTAAGGCTGGTTAAGACAAGAGGGTAAAAGTCCGTACAGCTATGGATGATTTGCACATTTGGCCTCTAAAGGGAAACAGCAAATGTATTGGGGTATCTAGAGCTAAACCCTCATTCCCCTGTGGTCTCTGTGGGATATATGAGACCCAGCTTTGTTCTTTTGCCAATTACACAGTTTGTACTTTCAGCTTGTCAAAGAGGAGTTAGAAAGTTCTTTGGTGGAGTCTCAGCAACACCAATGCTCCCTGTTGCCTTTGCCGGACTGGAGCCATTATAATGTTCCACTGCATTTCTAGATGTTTTGTGTTGATTACACTCTTGAGCAGCTGCACATACTCACTGCTATAATAGACTTATCTGCAGATAACACTCAATATGATAATGCTGTATTGTAATTTGAGGTCTTTCAGATATGAAGAAATTTATCCCATAAAATCTTTATTGTTTTTTCTTTTGAATTTGGCAGATTGAAGAAAATGAATATATTAAAATTGAGAATGCTGAAAACAGCAGCAAGCTAACAATATCATCAACAAAGCAGGAGCACTGTGGATGTTACACCCTAGTTGTAGAGAACAAACTTGGCAGCAGACAAGCACAAGTCAACCTTACAGTTGTTGGTAAGTCCATAATAATGTTTTAGATTTATACTCATTCTTCAGACATCACTCTGCATTTGCTTTATATATGATAATATGCAGAAAATTAAATAAAAAAATCAGATAAGTTAAGAAGACAGAAATGAAAAACTAGTACTTTAAAAAATATGTGGATTGGACAGTGACATTGTAATAAGGACTATAAGCAAGTTCAGTAGGGCTATACTGTGTTTTATTTTGAAAAATTACTGGTTACAGATAGAGGTACAAAATAGCTCAGACTTCAAAAAAAGAAAAAACACAAGAAAAAAACAACTCATGTCTCTGTGTTGTGGTTAGATACCAGTTCTTTTTCCCATTTAATGCCTGCAGCATCCAGATGTTTGCTAGACTGCAAATTTTAAATCTGTTAGTTCAGGAGGGGTTGAGGTGGTTTCTATTAGACTGTAAATTTGAAAACATCCTGTTGCTCAGGGAAGGAGATTTTATTCTTTTAATTGACATCTCTACCATTGTCTACTGTTTTATAGTGACAGAAAGCAGTGAATAAAAGCAATCTTCTTTGAATATGGAGCCCTTCGTATATGGACTTTAACACACATGTATTTTAAAGCCTCAAACAACCTTGTCAGATGACGCATTCAAGCCACCCTGTTTGTTGTAGCGGGCTGTGGACAGCTGCAGAGTTGTAGACTGGTATTGGGTTGCAGTGTGTTTGCAGATAAAACTGCAGCCTAGATCTAGACCAGCTGGCTGGAGTGTCAGACGAGATCTAGAGCTCTGACATCTAGCTCAGCAAGGGTTAATGAACTCACCTTGGTGTGGATACACAGCAAATGGTTTCCAGGGAAACCTAGGGAAGTTCTACACCAAAGAGGGTGATTTGGTTAAAACATTTAGTCTGCAGGATGGGTCTGTTTCTAGGCTCTGTTATCTGTGGACTGCAGAGAGTTTTTTGACGTAAGGCAAGGGAGGGCAGAACTTGACCAGGCATTTGGATGACTTCTAGTTCAACCAGCAGGGCTGCCTCTTAATCACACACTCAAAACTGCTTTGGCTGGGCTGTTGTAACAGATATGTGGGCTAGTGAGCAAGGAAAGAAACCCAAGTACAAGGCCAAAGATGAAAATCTGACTCCAATAAAATCAGTGAAAAAATACTGTTAACCCAAGTTGAACTGGAAATTCTTTCCAGCAATCCAGTGAATAACATGCAAAGTTTAATGAGTAGAATCACACTTCCAAGTACAATATCCACAAGTAAAATATCCACAAGGGTGAATGTCCCTTAGTTACATACTGCTGTACATACTGTCAATAGAGGCCTCCAGATTATTTAAATGAATTTCTTTCATCTAATGCGTGCCTTTCATTGCAGTTAAAAGATAAATGAATGAATGAGTATAAATATCAAGCAGATTCCAGCAACATGCCAGAGAATTCAATAATAGAAGAAAATAGAAAAAGTATTTTTCACATAATGCATAGATAAACTGTACTGCTCCTTCCAACAGTGGGTTATGCAGGTCAGGAGTATAGCCAGGTTGAAATAAACACCATGAAAAATTGAATAATCATCATATACATTGTTCTGGGAAGAGCTCTTGGCTCCAAAGCCCCAACACAGCTGATTAGCAGCTAGAAGAATGGCAGGGGGTTAATAGCTCTTTACATTTCCCTTTTTTTTACTCTTTCCTCAGCAACTGCTGCAGACTGCTAACTATAGCAAGTTATTGGGCAAGACAGACTTTTTTTTTTAGCTGAACTAGGCCGACAATTTCTATTATCTTGTCACTGTGTGAGCCTTGACTCAGTATTATATAAGTCACTGGTTTATATCCTTTGGAGTTAATTGGTTTGAAAGTCTTTGAATTCTATAACCTTATAAAGCTACATCTCAGCCTCCGGCTTTGCTCTTCCATAAGAAATGTGCCAGAGAACAATGGGATTCCCAGAGATGCTTTTGGGACAGTTGAGTGAAGAATCCTTACAGTGTGCTAGAGTTTGCCATGCATTTTGGCTGATGACAAGCTACCTGTTTCCAACTGAAAAGAATAAATTCCACCTTGTAAAATTGCCAAGCTTTTAGTGAGACATCTCGCTGATGTCAGCACTGCAAAAGGCATGACAAAACCTCAAGATTCCTAGTTTGCTACACATGCATTTTAAGGCCAGATTCTTCCATCTGAGTACTCAAAAATGTGGGAAAAGGGAGCAAAAATGTCTTCCTTCGAGAAAGTGGGTTAGAATCTCACTACTGAGAAAAATCCTTCACCCTGCTTGCACCTTCAGAGGTGTTCAGACGTTTGTGCAAGTTGGAAGGTACTTTTCTCCAAAGCCTGTTCCAGTCAAAACAGGGAAACTATACTTCTCTAAATATGCAAAATGTGAGACTTCTTAGTCTACCAAAGCTCATCTTAAGTCCTAAATGCTCACTTGTCCATTCTCTGTGCTCCATCCAAAGTACTGGGAAGAAACTTGCCCTCCCTGCCCTGACCCCACACTCATAACAAGCATTTGTGGAGTAAGCCCTGGTGCTAAAGATCAGCTCCGTTTGCCTCAGCTATTTATAATAATGCTGCAAACTCTGTGTGAGCTGCTTCCCTATGAGTGAACTGATAAAAAGCACATCTATGGGTATGCTGCGTGCTGAAAACATGGTGAACTGACCACAGGCCAGGACTGAGTCTTGAATGTGTTGAGGGAAACTACAAATAGAGAACATGTGCTCTCTGGAGGAGTGTGTCTGAGCCAACCTAAAGGTATGTTTCTCAAAGAGGTAGCTAACAGGCTTGCCTGTTCTGAATTTTAGCAAATCAAAGGCATTTGTTAAAATATAAAATGAAATAAATAAGGAAATAAAGAAATATTTCTTTTATTATTACTCCTTACTACCATGTGGGTTGCAAAGTCTTCATGCTGATGGGCAAGTTTCTTATGTGAAAGACTCCAATAAACATTTCCCAGATTAAATTTGGACTGTAACACATGCCAGGGAGCAGGTTGCCCAGGAAAGTTGTGTAGTCTCTATCCTTGGAGATGTTCAAGTTCAAACAGGATAAGCAGCTGACCTTATAGCTGATCCTGCTAAAGATCTAAAGACCTTCTTGGGCATATTTAAGATCTTGGTTTTATGCTTTTGGTTGTTAAAGACCTTTCTTTACAAAAAATAACATTATTGACTTACCTCCAACCAGACGACAAAGGACTGAGCTTATTTGCCAGGATTCAAACCAGAAATGATCCCGCTGTTTTAAACCATGAGTCCTAGACTGTAAACTATAGCCGAGTATGATTATTATAAATTATTTTTACTAATGACTTTTAGGGGGAAAAAAAAAAACCTATACTGCATTCCTTTGAATGTGTCTCCTCAAGTCTTAACATTTAGCTTCTCACACTGTCAGGCTCAGACTGCCACTGCGATCTCAACTGAACTGACCAGGGGTTCTGACACCGAGAGAGTTTGAATAGTATATGATTTGATGCAGTTTGGGCCGTGGGAAAAGATGCTTTTGAAAGAAACCCAACTTTATTCTAAGAATTTTTTTCCTTTGTGATTTTAATGAATATCAATGAACAAAATGTCCATTACACTCAGCCTCCAGTGTGAGCTGTTTGCAGTCCACACACCAGATGCACAGATATGTAGTCAAGTTAGAGGAAGCCACAGGGACTGAGTCTTGAGTTTCACATTGATTCATTGTGTAACGCTGTCTGCATAAGCACTAATAATTCTGGGAGACCTGCAGTAGAAGTGAGACATCCAAGTTAAGCAATGTCTTCTTTTTAAAGGGTTGACTGGTCTCAAAATGTCCATGTGAGCTCTTCTCTATTGTTATGATTAGCTCTCTTAAATAAGCAATTTCATTAGCTGAATGATCTCTCTAGGGAGATTTTGCAACACATTTCTGCTCCAAAACCAAAATGGCCTGATGTGGGACTGAGCTAATGATTTACAGCAGACAACATGTCTGATTAAAATGTACTTCTGTTGCCAAAGTGATATTAAATGAGCCAGTGATGAGCTTAGTGTAAGACAGGACTGCAAGGCAAAGTAGAGCCCTCACGCTACAGTGATAGCAAGCAATATCAATCCTTTCATGTAATTTATTAGATGTATATGGGTAAATTTATCAAATTTCTCATTCTGAACATTTTAGCTATGTGACAAGAATACCCCAGTCTGTAGCCACTTTTGAAAAAGTAACTTGGTTTTCATACTGGTTGAAGCTGAATACTATGACAAAGAGTCAAAAGAATAATGGAGTATTCAACAAGGAGAATTTGGCACTAGAGAAGTAGTCTCTCCTGCAGCTATGCCACAAGCTTCCTTCGTGATTTTGGGCAAACTGGTTTCTGTTTCCATGCCTAGTATACAGGAGTTTTCTGATGGTCAGTATTTCATGAATACTCTGGATATTACTGACATCTTTTACTTTTGCTCATACAGAAGTAAAAACACGTGGGGGCTGAGTTTGATCAGCTTTGTGTTTTTTTTTTTATAAATCCTTCAGATTTGTATTGTTCCTGGTGTGGTATTGTATTAAAAAAAAAAAAAATCATGGTGATTAGTGAGCTATATGATAGATATATGCAGAAGAATAAGAGCAATATCATTATACCCTGAGAGGCCTAAAGATAATTTTTATGGTGATTTTATTACTCTAAGCATTTGTGCACATACTAGTACTGTGTCCTTATGCACTGCTGGACAGTGATAAACCAAGTACTTAAGGACACTTATATAATCATGTTGCACACATGCATGCAAGTAGTATAACATGAATTCACTAAGTAATACCTGCTCCTCTGCATGAGGTTATGATTCCATATTTGAGTTGGGATGGAGAAGTTACTTTCTGTGAGGAAACTGTTACTTCTATGCCTTTAGCAGAATCTGTATGAGCAGAGTCTGTCCAAGCAAAAATGACAAAAAACAAGTTTAGCTTGAGAACAAGATCTGATCATCACTAACTCCAATAGTCATTGAATATAATTGATATTAATTGCTTATTTGAA